ACTCGCAGCCCATTGAAAGTTTCAATCAGGAAAAGCAAGCGCGGAAAATGTAAATAACCACTGTCGTTTGTGTATTAAGTGTGCTTTGAAACCAAAACACGGGGCAATAGAGAAAATATCTTGTATATCGTCGGAGAATTTTATATAGAAGAGAAGTGTTCATATTATGCCGTGAGATATTAAAAGCGTATTCACTTTTGAGTGACAGCGGCTCAGACTCGCAGCCAATCATCAATTCCCGTCCACTGGTGGACGGGGAATTCGATTACACTGCCAAACCCAGCAGGCGGTCTTTCCCAGGCTTGCCCGATTTTAGGGACCGCCTGCCATGCAGGCTAAGGGGAGGATAATCCAGCTGATGTTGGGTCGCGTGGGACAGTGGCTTCTAAGTTGAAGGATACTACGTTGTGGTGGAAGGGTCCAAGTTGGTTAGCAGGTCCCAAGGATGGGTGGCCAGTGAAGAATGAAATAGAAGCGACTGGGGAGAGTCAGAGTGAGGCAAAGCAGACCGTTGTTTTGGCCGCAAATTTTGAGAAAGTGCCAAGTTTAGAGAACTTCTAGATATACGCAGGTTTGAGAGTTTATCCAAGCTGGTAAGAGTTGCAAGTTTTATTGTTAGGTTTGTGAACAATTTGAAGGCAAGAGTGAAGAAAGAAACCACAAGACATATCTGCAGTTGAGAATGCATTGATAAAGGCTGCACAAGTAAGGTTGAAAGAAACCACTGATTACGCTAATTTAGTTAAACAATTGGGGTTGGTAGAAAGAGAGGGAGTGCTTAGGTGCAGTGGTAGATTAGGCAATTCAGATTTGGCAGTAGAAGCTCGAGAACCCATTATTCTGCCAAAGAATCATTGGTTAACAGTGTTGATAGTTAGAGCATGCCACCAAAGAGTGCACCACTGTGGTCTTCGAGCAACACTTGCTGAACTGAGACATTATTGGAAGGTGTGTCGTGTGTAAAAGACATTTAGGTAAAGCTTATGACAAACCAAAGGTAGGAAGTTTACCAGGGTTTAGGGTCAAGGAGACACCGGCATTTTCCCAGGTGGGAGTGGACTTTGCTGGGCCACTTTATGCAAAGGAGGGTGAGGCTATGGTGAATGTGTATATCGCACTATTTACATGTTGCGTTTCGAGAGCAATCTATTTAGACTTAGTTAGGAATCTTAACGCCAGTACATTTATGAATTGTCTTAGGAGGCTTACAGCCAGGAATGGTGTGCCTACAATGATTGTTTCTGATAATGCAAAAACGTTTAAGGCGACAGAGAGAGCCATGACTAAGTTGTTCGGAAGTCTGGAGGTGCGAGCATATCTTGAAAACAACAAGCTAGAGTGGCGGTTTAGAGAAAGCCCCATGGTAGGGTGGGTTCTTTGAAAGGATGGTTGGAACGGTAAAACGTTGTTTGAGGAAGGTTCTGGGAAGTACTAAGCTAACATATGATGAGTTCTTAACGACTTTGGTTGAAATTGAAGGAACTTTGAACTCCAGACCGTTGACTTGCGCATACGATGAGGTAGAGGTTGAGGTATTGACACCGTTGCATCTGATCTTTGGTCGGCGACTTTCGTGTATTCCAGATGAGGTGACAAGTGATGGTGAAGATAATGAGGCTGGGGTTACTAGAAGGTACAGGAACTTAGCTAAGAGAAGGGTTCATTTTTGGAACAGATGGAGACGTGAGTATTTAGCTGATTTGAGAGAGCATCATAAACTAAGTACGAAAAATGGAAATCGGAAGGTAAGTATAGGTGATGTTGTTTTGGTGTAAGAAGAAAATGTAAAGAGAGGTAAATGGAGGGTAGGAAGGATTGAAAGTTTAGTTACGGGTAGAGACCAGGAAAAGGTAAATACAAAGGAGAGACAGGAAGGTAAATACAGACGTGTAAAGGTAAATACAAAGGAGAGACAGGAAGGACGGTGTATTTAAATAGACCGTTGCAAAAGTTATATCCTATAGAGACAGGTGAGAGTGAAAGAAAGGATAATAAAGTCGAAAACGAAGTGAATGGGTATGATAACCAGAAAGGAAAGAAGAAAATGAATGAGAAGGGAAGGATAGAAATGAATGAGAAAGACGGAGAGAAGGGTAAGGTGAAAAGCTGTGTCCGTAGTAATAGACCTATAGGAGAGCAGCTGCGTTGGATGCACAATGGATAAACAGACTTGTGCTTGAGCCATGATAGCTCAAGGGGGGGGTCAAATATTTTATAATTAATCCTAGTAAACATAAATGATTATTGCACTTGTAATTTAATAGTTAAATTGAGATCAATGAACAATGCATAATGTAAGGCGGCAACTTCTGGACGACGCCAACATAATTGGACGATAATAATATAGTTGATCGACAAATGTTTTGTAATTCGATTGGAAAGGATTGTTGTATTGAATGTGATATAATAAATACTATAAATAAAAGATACAGTCCCCAGAGTGTGGTTGTGATGAACCAGATAGCGCGACTATTCCGTGTGTGAGTGCGCAAAGGAGAAAGTTGCGAAAAACACTGACATTGTGTTCTGTTGGATGCCAAAATTCAGAAAATATCTTATGTATTGTTT